CAAAGCTTTGGAGGATAGAAATCATGGTTTGTGACCCATGCAGAGATCTATAAATTGGTAAAAACTAAATACTCAAGTGCACAGAGGTGCTGGGTAAATACTGATGATGATGATGATGATGATGATGACGACAGATGAAGACAAAGAAGAAGAAATCTCTTTGAAAAAAGTAATTATAATATAGATGGGGATATATTTGGGATAAATGATGATTATTTGAGTTCAACTCAAGAGTTTAGGTACACATAAGCACCACAGTCTGCTCCTTATTCCAGGAGAGAATTACTCCTCCTGGAACTCAGCAGTTACCCAAAACTGACTCAATTGTTGAAAATTAAGACTAATAAAATGTTTGAGTGGATTCACTTGTCTTCATATACGAAGATAACACCAGGAACGACCTCACAAGACCATAGTGATGACTAAATGCGTCAATATGGTTAAAAGCACTGAGGGAAATACTCGGTCTCAATGAATAGTCCGTAAGCATTAGCTCTTACTCTTACGGTGAGAGGTTGAAATTCTTTCACGCACCACCCCCAGCCCACTACTGCTCACTGTGTCTTACAAGATGGAGAGATGATGAAATTACTGGGAAGACTGGTGTAATCACTGAAACTGGCAAACCAAAACAATGGGGACAGTGGATAGCTTAAGGAAGTTGACTCAGGGAGGGAACTGATGCCATCTGGGCAGCCCCGTGTTTGCAACAGCTGTAGGGAGCCCCCCCCCCCCCCCGAATGTGGATATCTAATCTGGTGGCAACTCTTCAGAACTTCAAAATGACAACTGTGAAACAGGGTTTTTTTTGTTTTTAAGCTTAAAGTTTTCAACTTTTTTTGTTTTTGTTTTTGTTTTAGGATTTAGCTATTTATTTTAGAGAACGAGTACAAGAGGGTGAGTGGACAGAGGGAGAGAATTCCAAGCAGACTCCCCACTGAGCAGGGAGCCCATGGCCTTGGATCCCACCAGCCGGAGAGCACAACTCTGCTGAAATCAAGAGTTGGGTGCTTAACCGACTGAGCACACAGGTGGCCCGAAACACGAACACTTTCGATTTAAGCGCATTGCCATCTGGCCAAAATAAGGAAACTAGAAACTCTTGGAATCTGCTGACACTGGTTAGTTTTATATTTTGGGGGGGCTCTTAATTCTAATTTTTATGCCCGCAGGGTTCAATATGCAGAGGACATGGCATTATTTCAGTTGATGATTTCAACGGGCTGGGAAACTAACCGACAAAAAAACCCTAAAGAGACCATTAAATAAATAATGTCACTTTGCTATAAAATCTGCTGTCAGTCATTAAGGCCAATGCCTTCACAATCTTATTCTATAAATGTGACTCTTCGTTAGTATAATCTTGTGAGGGATCCCTGGGTGGCTCGGTGATTTAGCGCCTGTGTTCGGCCCAGGGCATGATCCTGGAAACCCAGGATCGAGTCCCACGTCGGGCTCCCTGCATGGAGCCTGCTTCTCCCTCTGCCTGTGTCTCTGCCTCTCTCTCTCGGTGTCTCTCATGAATAAATAAATAAAATATTTTAAAAATATATATATAATCTTGTGAGCAATTTCCTTAATTTTATTTCACCTAGACCGATATAAAATTGTGTTTGCCCTCTCTCCTGTACACAGAAAGGGCCTTTATTCCATAAGTAACAAGGAGAAGTTGACTGGAGAACTTTCTAGAATAATCCAAAGTAATTAAGCCAAAGTTAATGATATCTGTTCCTGGGTTCTCTGTCATCAAAGAAGCCCATTATCAGGGGCAAGAGTTTTGATAAGGATAGTGAAGTTGTATCCCAAAGCATGTTTTTAGACTAAAACAACAAGATTATAATTTTGTCTGTTTGTTATATCATTGGACAACCTCTTAAACACCTTGAGCTCAATGTCCATTTAGTGCTTTGAGGCTAAAACGAAGAATCACGTTTTGGCAAAGAGGAAGCATGATTGAATGTAAAATATTACATGATTACCGTGGCTGCTTCCACGGCAGTCACTGAGGGAACTCAGTAAATATTAAGTGAATAAGTGACGTCAAAGACGAGACTTAGGTGACTATCTAAAGAGCCGAGAGAAAATACTTGTGACAAATTTTCAATTCAAGCGATGTCACCACGCAATGCCATGCGCTAGCAGAGCTAGAAAAAGAGCTCAGGCCGCCGGCAAACAAGGACTTGACACTAAAACAGTATGATCACCGCTTTGCTCACTCTAAGATCAAAGCAGATACACACAGAAGAAACCGTTAGTGGGGACAAGGAAGATGGGGGGGCCCAGTCAGGAAGACCCCAAAAAAGGGACACGTTTCTTGAAGTGAGCCTTGAAAATTGACTGTACGTTTCACCAACCAAAGAAAGAAATTGGAGCAAGAGTTGGAGCAAAAAGAGGTGAAAGAACACGGAACTTTCTGGCAGCCTGTGGTCTTGTACACCCAGAACGTGGCCGAGAGAGGATGGCGGAGAGCCAGAGCAGAAGGAAGTGACAAGAAACAAGGTTGGGGAAGTGGCTGAGGCCAGTCTGTACTGCACACAGTTCTTTAGTAAAATTATACATTAATTAAAAGAGAAGACTTCTTCATTCTATTATTATATGAAACCCACAATGATATTTCTTACTTATAAAGACAAAAATGCTTCTGGGTTCGTTGCAAATTTTTTTCTGTTCTTGCTTTCTTTCTCCCCCTCCCTCCCTTAAAATTACGAGTGCCAAGATCTCTTCAGTCAGCTTCAGAAGCAAAAGCCTCTAAAGACCTACATCTGGGAAAAATATGCTGGCGAGGAAGAGGGGATCTGGAACAGACAGTTGCTTTTAGAGAAGCAACATGGAGCTGGTTTTCTACCCTCCCTCGACCCCCCAAAAGCCCAGTGACCTTTGGCCAGTTCCTTCCACAGTGAGCCCACGCCTCAGGTCTAAGGGCAGTTAAGAGGATTATGTGAGATAATTCATTAAAGAGTTGGCTGCACATTGTAAGTACGTATAAGTATTATGATAGAATAATATTATTATTACTTGTCCTCTTTAAGTAGGTAATATTTGAATGAGACTTGAATTGTTGGCCTCCCCTTCTTCAAAGGGATCAGAAAAAAAATTATAAATGATATTGAAATACGTTGTTTCCCAATTTGCCGATTGCTTCAAGGCATACTCCCCTTTACAGACTAAAGGAGACAAAATTTAAAATGTGACCAAGAGGACACCTGGGTGGCGCAGCGGTTGAGCGCCTGCCTTCAGCCCAGGGCATGATCCTGGAGTCCCGGGATCGAGTCCCAATCGGGCTCCCTGCATGGAGCCTGCTTCTCCCTCTGCCTGTGTCTCTGCCTTTCTCTGGGTCTCTCATGAATAAATAAATAAAATATTTAAAAAATAATAAAATGTGACCAAGAAAAGCATCCCTGAGATAATGAAAAGTCTTGTTGAGGGGGCAAGACCCGGAAGATTTTCCCCTGATGTTACTGGGGGAGGTGGAGGGGGACTGGGGTAGCTAGAATGAAGAGAAATGGATATTTGATAACACACCACGTTGACACATTAACAGTCTAAACTTGATTTAAATCAAGAGACTTTTTTTTTCTGTTTTGAATTAACTTTTTCATAATCCGTTGCATTTCCTCCCAAAGTAAAGGAAATACCGACGGACATATCTTCACAGTTTAACTTATTTTATTCTCACTGATTCTTACTGGAAATAAGAGCAGTTTTGAATTGGTTCTTTTCTGGGATTCAGGTCCTCCTCTCCCAGTTCCACATTCTTGCTAGTTTAAAACCATTCAGGAAAGACGTGTGGGAAGCAGTATCGATGGCCACATTTTGCAACTTTCAGAAATTCACATTTACAGGCACATGCACTAATTCCTTTCAAATTTACCTGTGCAGATGTTCTTTGAAAAAACTTTATTTAAGAGAAACCAGTTATGATCAATTTATGTAAATTCAAAATTCAGATATGGCGAACAAAACCACCACTGCTGACGTTTTTTTGGTTTCAAATTTGTCCCGAGGAAATAACTTTAGAACTTTAAAAGCCATTACACTGAATAAGGGGGAAAAAGGGGGTTTTGATAAGCATCCTGATAAATTAATCCAACTCCATCGAGCCCAAATGGCTTTTTATGTTTATCATCTGACGGTGGGTCTTAGTGCTGTTGAGTAGTGATAATTAAATGAAGGTTGATGCTACAAGATCCAAAGTCTACGTTTCAACAGAGCTTCTGGAGCAAATATCCCATATCAACTCCATCAGAATTCCTCCTGTAGACAGAAGCCTTTCATCAAGACTTGAACGGTCATCTGTTTGGTCCTAAGCCTAACCGCTAGTTCAGACAATTCTGCAAAAACCTATACAACTAAGTAACACAAATTGCTTTCATTTTTCCAGAGTAAATGAAGAAGAGGTCCCTCGGATTCTTTGTGGTTATTAAACACACCCGTTAAAAACCGTTGGTGCCAAAATCACCAAAAAAAAAAAAAAAAAAAAAAAGCCAGTGAACACACTCAGTACCATATGACTCAAGATGTTAATACATCCACTCTGGTACCGTAAAGACACTTTTTAGAAAAACCGAACCACAGAGCTAAAATTAAACTACTCCCACTAGGCCAACGAGCAGCACAGTCTACATGATCAATAATATGCACTTTCCTGAAAACATTTTAAGGCAGATAAAATCACAGTAAATCGCCTCCCTGAACTGAGGCAAGAGAAATAAATCAAAACACGGTTCGGTTTGAAAGGGAAAAGACAACAGCAACAAAAAAGAATCATTGTTCTGGGTGGAGGGTGATAACTGTGGGTGACCGGAGAGGAAGCCACCCAGAGAACTGAGGAGTCCCACTCTGGACAGCCACAGGGGGTAGCTGCAGCGTGGCTCACCCAGGGCTCGGGTGACAGGTGCTCGGACGCCCCGAAAGGCTCAACCCACAGAACCAGAGGCGCCCAACCAACAAAACACATCCTAAGCCCCAAGAAGTGACCAAAGGACACCAGGAAAACTCACCTTGTAGAAAAACTGTCCTCAGTGGTACTGGCGTGTGACCAGAAACCCCCTCCTCTCGGATCTGCAGAACAACTGTCAACGCCGGCCGTGCGGTCACAAGGCAGGAAGTGACTAGAATGACAAATCATCAGCCAGGAAAGAAATAGATTTTGTCTTTATAAGGACATTTTACCTAACTTTTTTTTTTTCTTTTCTTTCTTTCGTGTCTCCTCCCCCACAGGAATCACCTGACAGCACAGGTCAAGCTGAAATTCAGAAGCTCCTTACCACTTCCTCTTTAGAAAGCATTTTTCTGTCTCCTTCCCTTCCTTCTCCAGCTGTGTCGCCCGGGCTCCGGGCTCCTGGAACCTTCCTGATTTCAGATAGCAGGGCGAGGTCGGCCCGCCACCCTTCCCCGCGTGCCCCCCCGGCTGCACACGCAAGGCCCAGCCCCTGGCCACCGACGGCGAGGCCAAGCAAGAGGAGGGGGGCTGGTGCACAGGCCAGGGGGACGCTGGCACACACACCTGACACGGACTAACAGGGATTTCCTTGGGAAGGCCCCGCCCCGGCCCGAAACCCAACCCGACCTGTCCCCAGTGTCCCCGCACAATGGTCTCATTGGAGCCAACACCACGACGGGGTCTCCTGAAGGGGAAGGGCCTACACAAAGGAAAGCCACTATATTATTCACTCATTCTTTTATTTATAGAACGTCTATGTGCTAAGGATCTCTTTAACCCAATTAGAGATTTCAATTATTCAGGTGCTTCCTATACCGAGCCCAGGTGGAGCACGCGGGCCGCGGCTACAGGTAAATGGGCAGTAACCGCCCTCACGCAGGCTAGATTGGGGTTTTGGAGTGCCCGTTTTATAAAATCAGAGAACGGGGGACGCCTGGGGGGCTCAGAGGTTGAGCATCTGCCTTCAGCTCAGGGTGTGACCCCAGGGTCCCGGGATCGAGTCCCATGTTGGGCTTCCTGCATGGAACCTGCGTCTCCCTCTGCCTGTCTCTCTCTCTCTCTCTCTCTGTCTCTCATGAATAAATAAATAAAATAAAATAAATAAAATAAAATAAATAAAATAAATAAAAAATCAGCGAAGGGAACAAACCCCAGCTCTGCACAAGCTCTGGTCTAGACCCTGGACGCTTGTCCTGACAACAAATTCCCATTTTTGAAAGGAAGTGCTCAAGGGCTCGTGGCCCCACGGGGGCTGTGAAGATGGGTCAGTAATGTTAACTAGACTTTAAGCATAGTCTCCAGATTGTCCCCAAACCGTGTGCGGCTCCAGCTGCCAGCTATTGAGGAACCAGGGCCTATGGCTGCGCTTCGACCTGATGCTACGTTGATGCTTCACTGGATCATTCTATCTGCTTCTGTAGTGGCGAGGGCCCGGCACCCCACCAGTGGGGCGGGTGCCATGGTTGGGGAGCTGCCCTTATGCTTCTTGTGCTTCTTTGATTTCTGCCCTAGAAAGTGCCTGCCTCTGACCTCAAATGTTAAACCAAGATATTTCTGATGTATCCACGTCATTGGCCAGCGGGGGGTGGGGGGCTCCTTGGGCAGAGCCACACAGAGGTCATGTTGGAGGAGAGGGTGGACGGAGTCACGGGCAAGAGGTGGTGGAGATTCGGTCCTTTCTAGAAGTGGCTCACCTCCAGAGGACTCTCAGGCGTCTTGTGACTCCCATGGAAGACGGAGAGGGTGAGTCAGACCCTGTTGTCTCCACTGCGTAGCCAGAGTAGTAGCTAGGCAGAGGGGTTTGCAGAGGCGCCTAAGTTCTTTCAGGATCCCCCAAAGAAACCCCACCCGGGCATCGCTGGGACAGGGGCGGTCACACCACAGAGGAGCCGAATGCGGGGGGTTTGCACACTGGTGGGAACAGTCACCACCTGCCACCGGTGTCCTGACGGTGTGAGGATGAGAACCTGTGACACGGGAGCTCCCCGGTCTGGCTCCGTGCCCCGGTTGGCCTGACGACGGGCCCGCAGACCCAGCAGTAACACACCACGAAGGGGACAGGGGCTCCTTGCGTTTACCTGGGAGGAGGAGAGGACCAGCATCCTGGGTCTCCGGGCGCCCGGCCGTCGGGGATCCGAGGACCTGCGAGGGAGAGCAAGACACACTTGAGCACTGGCTCCATCAGCCTCCCGGGGCCTCTCTAGGTACACCCCCTGCTCCGGGGCAGGCCAACTCGTGCGTGGAAGGATGCCACCTGCCAGGAGGGGGTGACAGGGCCTGTGGGACACGGAGGCAGGGGTGGGCGTGAGCAGAGCTGACGCGGGAGGACGGTGGAACTCGTGTGGGCGAAGGCGAGCTGTGAGGAGGGCGATTCTGGATGCTTCTAGAAGGTGAAAGCCACTGGATTGTGCCACTGTGCCGCCCGGGTGGAAGAGGCTTCTCCTGCGGGGGCCCCAGCGCAGCTCGGGCCCCTCCTCGGCCCCCCACGGGCACCTCGCCCACATCCTGGCCTACTCCCCGTGTCTGAAGCTCCTTAGCTGCCTCGGGGGGCCTCTCTGTAGGTACAACCCCTGCTCTGGGCGGGGCTCTACCCAGATACCGGTGGTTGGGGCTGCTTGGGCATCTGGGGGTGGGCAGGAAGCGGACCTTCGGCTCTACTAACATTCTGTTCTCCACAGACCGTGCACCTCTGATGGCTGGCACCCAGGGAGCACCTCCCTCACGCCCCCCCCACCCTCCACCAGCCTCCACTGCCTTCCCCGGCCTGTGCTTTGCCATCCACCCCCCAACCCAGGATGCTCAGAAGGCCGCGTCCACACCAGCCGGCCCTCTCCTGACCCTGGAACTCTGCTGAGGAGAGCCACACAGACAATTCAAGCTGCTTGGCCTTCACGCCACCTCTGATATCTTTATTCGATTTCATCAGTTCCTGAGAGCAGGGATGACCAGCCTGGGGGCTCCCGCCTCCGAAGTTAGATGCCTAACTTTGTGTGCGGTGGTCTTTCTGGGTTCATGGTATTACCCCCTGTAACATTAGGGAGCTCACAGACCCCCAAAGTTAGATGCTTGTTCCAAACTCTCTCCTCTTGCCTCAGTCTCCCTGTATCCTTTCTCGGCCCTTATTTACTGAGATGATCCATGTCATCGGGCCTCCTCCACACTCACAAGATCCACCCTTTCCTCCTCGTTCCATCTTTTTTTTTTTTTTAAGATTTTGCTCATTTATTCATAGAGACACAGAGAGAGAGAGAGAGAGAGAGGCAGAGACACAAGGCAGGGAGCCCGATGTGGGACTTGATCCCACGTCTTCAGGATCACGCCCTGGGCTGAAGGCAGATGCTAAACCACTGAGCGACCCGGGCTGCCCCCCCCCCCATTTTTTTTCTTCCTCGTTCCATCTGTAAAGGCAGAGGTGCAGAGGTGTTCTGTTTTCTCAAGGCCAATTGTTCCTTTTAATCCTAATCCTTTTATCTTCTATTTCCCGAAATACCTTGCTCCATCAATGCCTGCATGTTTTTCCGGCGTCTTTAATCTCTTGTACTCCCTTCACTTTTCCTTCGTGCACTGTGGGATCGGGACAAGGGAAAAACACCTCCACTTTCGTCCATTGCCACCACATTTTTTTTAAAGGTTTTATTTATTTATTCCTGAGAGACACACAGAGAGAGGCAGAGACACAGGCAGAGGGAGAAGCAGGCTCCATGCAGGGAGCCCGACGTGGGACTAGATCCTGGGATCCTGGGGTCATGACCTGAACCAAAGGCAGATAGATGCTCAACCACTGAGCCACCCAGGTGCCCCCATTGCCCCCATTTTTGATGGGTAGGGAATGAAACTCAATAAAATGGGCACAATCCCTGCCTTTCTAGAATGCCCTCTGTAGTCAAGGACACAGACAAGCGAAGAGGCAAGACGTACTCAGGACCCTGAGGTGACAAGCAAAGTGCCAGTGGGAACACACAGCACTAACCCAGACTGGTGGTCCGGGAGGCACACAGAAAGAGCAGGGTGGCGTGGTCAAGAGCAAAGGCGGTGGGCTACTGGTCTGGTGTCAAACCCCAGCTCTACAGCTCTACTAGTCACGTGACTTTGGGCAAAGCACTTCATTTCGCTGGCCTCAGTTTCCTTATTTAGAAAACGGGAATAAGAATGGCATCTGATTTATACAATTGTTCTGAGGGTTAGCATAAGCTGATAGATGTGGAGAACACGGTACAGTGTCTGGCATATAATAGGTGACATAGAAATGTTAACTAGTCTTTTAATATTTATACCAGTGTCTGGACTAAACTCTGCACATACATGATTTCATTTATTCCTCACAATGGCCCTATGAATTAGGTATTATTTTTGTATTTCCTTCTTCTTTTTTTTTTTTTTTTTTAATCGTTTCCAATTCTTCACTACCTCTTTGCTATGGAATTCTACACGGCCATCTCTGCTGTGAGACTTTTCGGGCCCTCCCACTAGAGTAGGTTAGGGTGAGTAGGGTAAACCTACCCAGGCTTATTTCATGTAACTTGCTTGGACGAGAGCCCTGGAGTGTCATCGGACCAGACAGAAACAGAGGTCTTGACTATGCTTAGGTGATCTGACCCGGCCTCCTGTGTGTCTGACATTTACCCCGAAGAAAACACACCCGTGCTCAAGGGGAATGAGGAGATGCTTGAGGCCAATCCAAACCCAACCCACAGTCCAGGCCAAATCTAGCTGACCCACATTCCGAAGTGGAGGCATCCCGGCTGACCCGTAAACCTAGGTTTGTTGTTGTGAAAAAGGTGAGAATCCGGAGTGCTTTCCTATGCAGGGTTGTCACAGAAACATGGGACTGGTCCTGTCCCAACCATTTACAACGACTTACCAACCATTTCCCAATTATTTACAACTCTGCTGCTCCCAGCCATCTCCGCTCATCCTTACTCTGCTCTGTTTTTCTGCAGAGTTAACACCTCCTAGCATGCAATATTTTAACATTAAGTTTATCGTCTTCTCTAAAATGGTGAGCTCAACTTTGGGCAGATGTGTGCTGGTTTTCTTCCCAGCCATATGCTTGGCTCTTGGAGCAGTGCGGGTGCTCAGATAGGGAACGAGTGACATCTTTATTGTCCCTCTGCTTATTAACAAAAATACAAAGGCAGCCGAGTGAATATATAAATTGTTGTTCAGTATAGAATCTAGCAGTTATAATGAGTGAACTAGATGGCCTAAGCAAGAACACATCTTACAAATATAAGCTTGGGGAGAGGCAAATGTTGCAGGGTAATATGAACATTCGTACGCACTTTAAACAACTATTATAGTGTGATTTATAGATGTGTGTGTGTGTTTATAACAAAAATATGTCTAAGGAATTATGAATGCCAACTGAAGAACACAGTTACCTCCTGTAAGTTAGTGGGACAGTGAGATCAAGGAGGGTAGACAGGAGAATTCAAATACGGCCATAGCAAAATGTTCAGGTTGGGCAAAAACAAAAAGTTAAAAAAAAAAAAAGTGTTGGATACATGAGTGTCGGTTGTTTTATTCTCTTTTATCATGTTTTAGATATTCTTCATTTAAATTTTAAAGATTTTAATTTCATGATTAGTAATATTATTTAACATTAGTAATATATTTAACATGGCTTAAAATATAAAAGATGCACTAAGTTATATGGCAAAGATTTTGTCTTCCAACTCTGTCCCCTGGTAACTCAATCCCTCTTCAACGTTAAATAATGGCTTTGTTGAGATATGACCAATGATAAAATGCACCTTTTAAAATTGAAATTCAGTGGGTTTTAGTATACAAACAGGGTTGGGCAACCATCATACTATACAATTCTAGAACATTTTCATCACTCCAGGAAGAAACCCTACATGGACCCATCAGCAGTTACTCCCCATTTATCCTCACTTCTCAAACCCCCAGCCACTTATTATTTTTTTGTCTCTAGATTTGCCTGTTTTGAACATTTCATATAAATAGAATCATATGATATGGTCTTTAGTGCCTATCTTCTACTTAGCAGAATCTTGTCAGGGCTCATCTATGTTATAACATGTACTTATTACATGTTACATATAACAGTACTTATTCCTTTCTATAGAAAAAGAATATTCCAGCCTATGTAAATACCAGATTTTCTTTATCCACTCATTAGTTGACAGACATTCGAGGGTTGTTTCCACTTTTTTGATATATAAGAATAATGTTGCCTTGAACATCTGCATACAGGTTTTTGTGTAGACATGTGCTTTCTTTAATATTTTAATCAAAGCAATACTTGAACACCCTGGGGTCAGGAGCACTGACCTCTCACACTGTTGAAGATCCATGTATATCTTTTGATTCACCCAAAAAGTAACGACTAATAGCCTATTTAATTAGTAAGCCTTCCTGATAACATAAACAGCTCATTATGTGGTGTGTGTATTGTATACTGTATTCTCACAATAAAGTAAGCTAGAGAAAAGAGAATGTTATTAAGAAAATCCTAAGGCCGAGAAAACACGGTTACAGTACTGTACTCTATTTTTAAAAATCCCTATGTAAGTAGACCCATGCGGTTCAAACCCATGTTGCTCAAGGGCCAACCATTCGTGGCTTTAGAAGTCAAATGTCACCTCAGGGCTTATGAGGAAACACCAGTCTCCTGTCATACATCTTCTTTACCACCAATTCCTATTCCCCCAAAACAGTTATTTTCAACAGTTTGAGCTATTCCTTCTGCTACTCCAGATTTCTAAGATGCTATGCTTATGCTGTGTCTGGATTGTTCAGACTCTGTGTGTGTGTGTGTGTGTGTGTGTGTCTTACTTGGGAGATGAAGATTTGCCCCCCACTCCGCCAGGGTGTACACACTAGCTCTCCCATCATCCTGTAAAAACAGATTATAACACTTCTTTTGTGAAATCATCATTCTGTTTTCATAATGACTACATAAATATTCATAGCTGAGTTGCGTGGAGCACAATGTTTATATTTCCCTTTTGTATCTTTTTCTTCATTTGCTAGGTTTCTATTTAAATATCACTAACTCCTACCAAACTCTCCAACAGAACTAAGATAAAATTTGAAAAATCCGGAGATGAATTTGTTTCTCTTTTGATCCTTCTTGGAGAGGTGCCTTCTAAGGTTCTTTCTGCCCAGCTGCCATAGAG